TATAAGTGTAATAATAAATAAAGAGAAAATTTTACTCTCGGTAGCCTACAGATAATGATCTTCTTATAAGCGTTCTGAAACGTTAACGTAGTGGGACGTAATCCTGGACGCATCTTTCCTTCTCTATTTATGATCATAAAGTATGCTATCTGTTCTTCAATTTGAACTGGATTTATAAGTTTACTGCAGAGACTTGTAACTTACAAGCTAATAGCATACTAAAGATTATCCAAAAATCAAATATGTTGCCGTATCATATTGGTAGTATTAGGGTGATCGGAAGACATAAGCTAAGCTAGAGAAGATTGCAAATTTGTGCCTTGTAGTTGCTAAAAAAATTTAACTCTTGAAATAGAATCGTACACAAATGAGTTTTCTAAAATTTTGTATCAGTAGGATACTGCCACCGAGAGACTAAAATCCTGAACTCCGACTGTATTGCAGGTTTGAGCTCTTGTAGTTACTGAACAGCCTCATCAATTCCGCGTGAACAGCTTACAAACTATTTCCTAAAAGTAGGACTTACTTAATATATTGTCCCGCAGTGGACTGATCGTTAAAACACGGCTCCTAGCAGATCACCGAAGTCAAGCATCACTGTCTGCGGTCAGCGTGCGGATGGGTGACCACTTGGATCAATCTGCGTAGGGACCGAGAGTGTGAGGTATTGGTTCTCGTTAAACTGTTCTACCGTAAAGTGCTCGACTTCGCGTGCAGGTCATCGGGCTACCGAAGCGGGGGTGCCATCCCCTCTGCAGAGGATCAAAATTGTGATGGTATGTTTTCGGATCATCCTCAGGGATATATTTCAGACCGTCGCCAATAGCCTATTGTGCAGCTCTAATGCGACGTAAATGAACTACAATAACAATAGCAGGTTTAAGCTCTTGTAGTTACTGAGCAGCCTCATCAATTCCGCGTAAACAGCTTACAAGCAATTTCCTAAAAGTAGGACTTACTTAACGTTTTATATGATTGCATTGCCAGGACGAGGTGGTTGAAAAACTAAGATCCCCGCAAGTTGCAACAAGAAGGATGCAAGTTTGAGCCTTAAAGTCATTGTTGACCTTCGCTGGCTGATAAACAAAAAGAATATTAACTATCATTTGAAGTAGAACCAACCTGTATTAGTTGTGGGAAAAATAGGTTGAAGTCCCTTGTTGTGTAACCCAAGTTCAAATTCTTTTGTTTCTGAAAAATGTCAATTCTCACATGAGAGTAGTAGATGAGCTCATTGTTGTAAAACAAGTTTGCTGTAAAAATGGAACTTAAAAATTTTCCAAGATTAGGCGAAAAAGGTAAAAAGAGTAATTAACATTAGGAGTCCAAACTTCAGACCCGCCCCTGGACAATTTTCGGGGTCGCTGCAATCTGTGAAATATGGCCGCAACAGTTTTTAAACAGAAAAGTTTGGACCTTTTAAAGTTAACTTTACTTTTTCGCGTATTTCATCCTATCTTAAGAACTTTTTATGGGAATTGAAGACTTTTTATAAAAATTTTTTCATTTGATGATAGTTTCATGCTATAAATATTTTTCATTTCGACTTAAAAAAGTTCTTGAGATGTAGGGAAATACGCATAAATCAAAAATAACATTAAGAAGTCTGAACTTTGGATCTCCTGCTCAAACTATTGGAATCTTATTTCCCAGATTGCAGCTACCCCCTATATTTTGAGGGTCAGAAATCCATATTTTGATAGTCATTTAAACACAAGCAGAAACATTCTTATTCACCTTGCTATACCAGCCAACGTGTCCAAATGCACATGCACTAACATAGTGGTATGAATCATGGTTAAGAGTCATGGTTTACTTGTTTAATTACTACTGCGCTTAAAAAACTGTAAGTGGATACATTTTATAGAAAGAGGCCAGTTTCTAAATTAAATAAATTTAAGGGATTTAAAGCTAATAACTCTTTACTCGTAGTTTGCATTTCCAGAAAAAAAAATTACGTCTCTTATTAAAAAATAACCTTAAATATAAATTAGGGTTATTTTTAAGATTAGATAGCTAGTTTTAAGAAGTACACTCTGTGTGCAAATATTTATTTACATAAGTGTACATAATTTAGGATTACATGCATGTTCATTACACCTGTTTTTCACACATGCATGAAAAGACCATAATGGATGTGGGTTAAATTAAAATGATGAAATCATTCAATAAATATGCATACTTTGTGCTTCAAATTCGTTAAAAAATCTGCGAAGAGAAAAACTCTACAGTGATTTTTTGAGCAACGGAAGCAGCTCAGCTGAATTGGAAATCAATCATTATGTAATTGTTACGTCGCAAGAGTTCTAAAAAAATTTTGAAATATTTTCACTGAAATGATTGCTGTAAGATAAATAATAGTGATGACGTAATTGTTATTCTTTGGAAAACTTCTTCTTTGACAAATAAGATTAAAATGTCGTTTTTATTTTTATAAGTATTTTTTGTTATTTCTTTATTTTTTTATATTTATCTTTCAATATTTATATAACAAATCTTAATAATTAAGAAAATAGAAAATGTTGAGGGTTCAAGATTTCTAATAACTTTTAACCCTTTGACGCAGAATTGTCATTAAATATATTTTTCATACTGTTTTCATTCATTTGTTTTAATTTAGGTCAATATAAGTGAAAAATTTAACATTTAGCGTTTTAATAATTTTGTTTATGAAATACAGCATCTGACACCAGCGCTCCTTTTTACGTTAACTCCTTTTTACGTACTTTTCAAGCATGGTGCACTTTTAAAAAATAATTATTAAAATTTGCACTTTTTTGCAGTTATTTTGATCTTTATCTTGAAATTTCTTTAATTTACAAAATCAATTATTGATAACTTTTTGAGTATGGATGGAAAAAAAATTTAAAACTACTTTACTTTTTTTTTTACAAGCACAAATATAATTCCGAGAACCTAACTGATTTTTTTAATAACTATTTCCCTTTTTTTCGCAATTAAAAAATTCCTAAATATATTTTAATTTATTATTAGAGCTCCAGAAAATAATATATATATATATGGGACATCGGTGTCCTATCTACATCAAAGGATTGATTGTATTTAGATTATTTACTGTTTCATTGAATCATTTTTTTAAATCTATTTTTAATTAATTTTTAAATGTGGCCAAATTCTTTCATCTATTTTATGTTCTATAATTTAATCACAATTCCCTCACGGCAATTAAGAAACTGGGCAATTTTTGCGAAGAATTTTAATAAGTCAATTTCAGCAAGAAGAACTTATCATATTGATTATGCCGAATAATACTTTTTATCTCTATATTTGTAAACTTTTTAAAATTAAAAATAATATATGTTGATTATACTTAATTCAAATTAACCACTTTTACTAAATAATAATCAAATATGCATCAATTTCACCTCTTGCATGTAAAAAAATGGCATTTCTTTGTAAAAATATTTCATAATAACATGCAAAAATACTTTGGAATATTAAAATATTTATTTCGAAGATTAATAAATCAGTTTAAAGTGCACACTTAATCCGTTTTTCTGTAAAAATAATTGCACAATTCGGTCATTACATTTGAGCATGCATCTAAAGGTTAAGATTCTTATTTTTATAATCTTTCACACAGAAAATAACTTATATAGTGCTGCCACTTGTAAAGGTAATTAGCAAATCATCATGTAACGGCAACTTTATTATTATTATTTTTTTAAACATCTGTAAACAAAAGTTTTGGTGTTACACTGACTCAGTTACCAATAATGACAAATATTGTCCTTTTTCGTTTGAAAAAGGAATTTTTTAACTTAATTATAGAAAACTTTTGCAACAATCTATCTATCTATCTATCTATCTATCTATCTATCTATCTATCTATCTATCTATCTATCTATCTATCTATCTATCTATCTATATATATATATATATATATATATTTCTCTTACACGGCGACAAAAAAAGCATCATTACAACTCCCTGAATGGCAACGCTAGAAAATCGACCAATGATTGCCGCTAGAATTGTCACACGAATCCACCTGAGATGGCTCAACATGTAGCGCTTTTAAAAACGGAAACTGAAATAACCAGAGAGAGCATAAGCTAGGCAGAAGTGAGTAGTCTTTGTCGATAGATTTCTATTTTAGTATTTTGTCGAAAGCGCTTTTTTTTCACGAATTTATATATTACGAATTTATTTGACGATTTTTGATTCATATCACGAATTTATTTGTTTTACTAGAATTTATTTGCTTATGCAGGTTTTTCCATTGCAATTCACTTATTTCAATTTTTAATAGACTTAATTATAGCCAAAATTTGAACCTTTTTGAAGAGATGTCAGTTTTAGAAATTTTATCTTAAGATTTTATACTATCTAATAGGTTTAACGAATTCTAATAGGTTTAACGAATTACATGTCATTTATTTGAATTCAAATTGATTTTAATGACTTAGTATTTACTAAAAAGATTTAATTTTTTCTTTAAAAAAAAGTTGTTGTGTGGATTTGAATGATTGTTTCGAATTCTTAGAATTTTGTGCATTTGCAATGTACTACCTAAGTTAGTAGCGAGCGAAGCGAGCTTGGTTTGCGTATCAATTTTCGGGGGTTGGCGAGCGTCAGCGAGCAGGGGGCGCAGTCCACTAGTTTATAATATTTTTCCCTGTACAAAATTGTAAATTTACTCTTAGAAAATTTTACTGGGAATTAAATTTAATCCTAATAGTTGTGTTTACACTTTTTTAGGACCCAATAAGCAATAATGTCTACTTTTAAAGCGATAGCTATAATTTTTAAGACATTAAATATAAAAAATACACCATAAAACAGGCTCTTCGCAATCTTAAATTTCACTCCAAAACCCTGCTAGAGAGTCACAATTTTAATAAACTCTGATTAGCAAATTCAATGCCATGAAAAATTCTATTGATTTAAACTGGTGAGGGAGAAAAGTAGAAGTTGATTGAAGAAGTCTTATGGATCTTTCATCGAGCCCAAAATGAGATTTTGTTGGGTAATTATGTCTGTCATTTTTCAAAACTGTTCTTTAAACGGTAACGTCCTGTCGATAAACGAAAACGTCCTTCTCTATTATATTGCAAATAAAATTGTAACAAATCTCTCAGTCGAAATATTTAAATAAAAACCGATCTCCGTAACTATCTAACCATAACTATTAACTCCGGGAGATATTTAATAAACATGGAAGAATAAAGGTTAAAGATTTTTGGTATTGTTTTTATTAGCTAGCATCTATAAACTAAGAGGGAATTATGTCCAATAATGATTGTTCAAGAAAAGAGGTAAGTAATATTTATATAATTTGTTTTCGTTATTAATTTATTAATGAAAATCAACAATTGTATGTTGAAATTCAATAAAAAATGAGATGCTTGTTTGTATAAGTTGTAAGGATGCTTTTATTTTCTGTAGAATAAATTCAAGGAAATTAAATGGTCATATTTTTTATCTAAAAAAATTTCAAAATCAATTCTCAATCAATTCTCATAATAATAATTAGAATTTATAAAATAAAGAAGTTTTCTCACAAAATCCTTTACAAATTACGAGTAAAGCTATTCATAGTTTTTCTAATTAATAGTTATTGTGCTTACAAACCAAAAGTATTGGTTCATATCACAAAATGTGCGCAAAAATTTAAATGTTGTAATTAACTCATTGTGTTTGTTATAAGCGATTAGTAAAAATAAATGTAATGAATAAATGTATTCTTTAAAATAGTTATTTAATTATTATACATTCATTATTTTAAATAATATCTACTAATGCAAGAAACTAAATGTGCTTCATTTTACCAATCATCCGCATTCGATTATACTTAAAAAAAAACATTCAAAATGATAAAATTGGAAAGATTTTTATATATGTTGGCGACTAGTTATAGTTTCAATGTATGATAATTTAGATTTCAACTGTAGATTTTCAGTTATGAAAACAATAATATATTAAAGGTAATATAGAGAGACTTGTTTTATTCTTGATATAAAAAGAAAATTTGATATTCTACTAAGGGAGTTAAATAATGATTGAAAGGTTTCAATCCATAATAGAAAATGAAGAGTTTGTGTGTGTATGTCTGTCTCTCACTTATAAATAACTCAAAAAATGCTTGAACTAGAATCTTGAAATTTGAACAGTGTGTGAAAGGTGTAATTTTGGTCCGCAATCATAAAACTCATAAAAAATTTTTTCATTTGATCGTTCGGGAGAGAAATTTCAAAAGCGGAATTTTCTGATTGGTATAGCATTAGTAGTCATTGTTTTAAATTAAACTATTACGTTTTCTATTCTTTTTTTTCCAAATACTTTAAGGATAATAATGATATTTTCTAGCTAGTAGCTTTCATTACATCATCCCTCATCAAAAAAGGAGTTTTACTGCACGTTCTATAATAATTAATTATTAGTCGTTAGTTTAGATAAACTAAATGATAAATGTGAACGTGGTAGCGTGCGTCCCCAAATTGGTATATTTCTAATGCTCTTAAAAAGTGTTTTGATATAAGTAAATTATTTAAAATCTACGGTCTTTCAAATGAACAAAAAACAATTTATGTATTAAAAAGAAAACTAATTGGTAATTCGGTTAAGAGAGACATGAAAAATAACCATATCATAATTGACACTAATGATACTCAATTAGTTTTGATTATGGTAGGTACTAAACGAATTAAAAATTTAAGAAAAGTTATGTACTAAAAACCGAAATAATGGAAAAATGATGCATTGTGGAAAATTTTAGAGCATGTTAGCACTTAAAATGATAGCAACTATTTTACAAAGTGGTGTAGAACCAATGATAGTTCTATGGTGTAGTGAAACACCAAGAATGTTCCTTACACTACTTGGTTTCAAGTAGCAGTCACTATTTTTTTGTTATTAAATAGCACTAAAATTTACATTAAGATAAGAAACACATAAGAGTCTTAGTAAAGTTATTTTTACAATACAATATTAACTAAGAACCATCAATTTAAAATATAGATATAAACTAATTGAAAAAAAATTTGTTTGCAAATCAAACAAAATATGTAGCACAGACAGGGCATAGAAACAAATTCGAAATAGGATTAACGGAAAGTGGGCGGATAGAAATTATATATTATAAAAATCATTTTATACACTTCATAAAGATTTAAAAACTAAAATATAATTATCCTTATTACACAAGCAAAAAATATGCATAAATGTTGATATATAGCAGAGAAGTAAATACGAACAAAACTAATGCCAGCTCTCTTTCTCTGAATTAAAAAAAAACTACTGCCATTATTCAAAAAGTGACAATGATGTTTTCGGAAGTGAAAATAATTCTCCTATGGTGTAAACGCGCAAGAGCTTGACATAACCTTATTCCATTTTAAACGCTTAGATTTAAATTAAACCTTTAGAATTGTATATGAAGGTTCGATGTGGTGTTAACCTAAAAAAAGTGATCCGTCACACAATTTTTTGGGTTATTTAGCATCATTTGGGTTGTTCGCATCTTCCACAGTTTTTACAGTGTTGTAGTTCCTTTAAGAGAAACGTAAAAATTCGTCATACTACTATAGAAGCCAATGATGTTTAATTATTTTTGGTATTTTGGCACTACTGGTGTTATGATATCTTCTGCAGTTTTAAGTGATAGATATTAGATACCTATTTAAACTGCATTAATATTGTGCAGCTTTATAATTGATACTATGGAAAGATATTTTTTACTGCCACTTGAAAGCGATAAGTACTGGAAAAAACCACTTGATTACGGTAAATTTTGACCAACCAACTAGAAAAACACGTTTGAAAATTTAAGCACACTTTTTACATTAGTTAAATCTCCTAATTGTTGACGGTGCTGTGGCCTATTAATTAGAAACCTGCCTGGTGTAATGAAAAATCTAACTTTTTAGCTATAATAATCTTTTTTTTATAAATATTATTATTTTAACCTCTATAATTTCCTTTAAAGATTTGATAATTACTGCAATTTAAGTATTAATCTAATAATTTAAAAAATATCATTATTAAAATAAATTTTTATTTAAGCTATTATTATTCGTAAAAGAAAATAAATCTTATGTAAAAAAAATTGAAAGATAAGGAAACGCAGTGATTATGGCGCAATCAAATTATAAAATTATGGGGGGTATAAAACCGAAAATTCGAACATTTCATTAATTCATTGCAGCTGTAATCCAAAGATTATAATGATTTGAATGAAACAATATGCAGAACGTGCAACATTTATTCATAATTCATATTTTAAAACCTTTTTTATTGAATACTTTTTAATATTAATGTATATATATATATATATATACATATATATATATAGAATACAAAATAAATAGATACCGAAAACACTCTTTTTTGCGGATATAATCGTTTGGGCAGATGAAAAGGTTATATCGTTTATTTTCCGGACTTTTTAAAAAATTTTATCCTTTTTTTTTCCAACTGCTTGTTATTTTNTATATATATATATATATACCGTCTAGAAACAAAAAGACTTGTTAGTAGGTTTATCCTAATAGGGAAATAATAAAAAATTAAATTACAAGCGTTTTGATTGAACATTTTGTCTGATTTCCTAAATAATTTCACTGTTTTACAAGTTTTGCAAAAAAAATTTAATCACTTTTAATAAAAGAAACTTAAAAAAAAAACAAGTCAAAGAATAAAAGACAAGTAAAAGTAATTCCAAGTACGCTTAAAAGTCAAGGAAATGTCTTTCTTTTTAGCATTTTCTTAATATTAATTTTTTATCGTTTGGAGTCCATTGATCTTTGCCAATTCTATGCCGCCATATCTGTTGTTCTTCATTGTTCCATATCCATTGTTCTTTATCCAACAGGTCAGAGATAAAATGTAAAGTTTCATTTTGACTAATTAAGACACCCAAATGAGCAACAACCTATCATTATTAATTTAGAATATGAAACAAATAAAGTAAAAAAAAGAGTGAAAATGGAAATAACAGATCGGGAGCAATAATACTTCACCGTTGATATTAGTCAACAAAATGGCGACTCTTTACTCATGTGATTGGCGACAGCCAATCGAAATCGAAAGCGGCCCAAAAGTCGCAAGGAACAGAGTGACACTACTTATATTAGGTAATCTAGGACCTTAGCAACACTATTGCCAATAATATAGGACTATTTTTCAATCACTAATTTCAGTATATAATTAACAAAAAAAATTTATATTTTGCAGGATAATTTTGAATACACATTGAATGTTTGCAGCAAGTTTAAAGTTTCTATTCAGAAGCCACTCATACCATTAAAAATAATACTCTTCTGTTACTATGGAGGTAAGAAATTTTTTATTTATTTGAACGAAAATGTATGGAATATAAGATTTTAACGATCATTTTTCTATAAGATAAGTGCAAAAATCAGTATTTCAAGTTGAGGAACTTTTTATTTCTAGAGAATCCAAATCTGGTACAAGAAAAATGGGATTTTTATTTAAAATTCAGTAGTTGGCTTTAACCCACCTCCTGGAAGAAAGATTGGAGGATAGAGTTCAGCATCTTTAAATGCATCTCTTAAAAAATTTTCACTGGCGTATTTTTAAATATATGATTATAGAGATATTTGACCGTTTCTAGTTTTTTTGGTCAGAATGTATATTATTTATGGCCATATTAAACTTATAGGTATAGTAAAATAAAGAATATGCATATGTTTACATACCGGATTGCGGTTATACCTTAATCACAAAAAATACAACATTTTAACATGTAGCTAAATGAGTACTATTGCAAACAAGTTACGAGGAATAGAAGTAGAAAAAGAATATTTTGGGCATTTTCATGAAATATCTCGCATAAAGAGATCAATTAATAATCTTATACGCACAAATCTTTATCTAGTGTATCATAATCAAATAATTTCTAATAATTCTTACAATTTATTATATTATTTATAATTTAATATACTATTAATAATTGTTATATTATTTTGTAATTAATAATAGTTTTCAAGATATAAAGAAAGGAAAAGAAATAGAAGTAAATAAATTTCATGTGATATTTTTTCTCTTATCTTGGTAAAGTTGGGAACTAACTCCACTAGCGTCGAAAATCCTCATAAATAATTCTCTTCTCACAAATGGAGCAAAAATCTTTTGCGCACTGCAGATCACATTACCCAGTATACACTTGCGCTGTCTTTACTACAAAAATGTTTTATTTCATCTTTTTTCACTTTTTTTTAATATCAAGGATTATTTCTCAGTTTTCCCTACACAAACGAATTTTAGGTAAAAGGCACTTATCTGGTTTTCCTTACACAACATCTAATCCATTTGTCGTGTAAAATTTATAACCATTTGCGAACAGATAAAAAACTAGTAATTAAAAATTTCAGTTTCAATTTTAATTTTAAAATTTATTTAATAATTGGAACTCAGCTTTTAATAATGATCTTTTCTTTTGTATTAGCCTCTACGTTTGCCGAAATATTGCTATTCGAAGTTTCTTGTGCGCTGAAACTTCTTCTTACGAGAATAAGTGCGCTTATTAAGTGAGAAAAGGGTTACTTTCTTGCAGTTTAGATGCTAGAACTCTTACTTGCTAGTCTAGTTTCGTGATTATCGTAGTTATTTCTATGATAAGTCAAATAAAAATTTAATATAGCGTAAAAAAAATACTAAATGAATAATTTTGACTAATTTAGTAACTGTAAATTGAAAGCTACTGGAAAACTCGATCACTATAGGGTTGAAAAAAATTACATTTAACACTTAAAAAATTTGTAAAGTGTAATGTGTATAAAATAAGCTACAGATTTCTCAAAAAAGGAAAATGTAACAAACACTTTGTGTCTCTCCTTTATTTCTCTCAAAAACTAAATGCTTGTTATAAAATACAAAGTGCTTTGTGATTGATTATAAAACGGTTATTGCCAGCGGAGATTCTGAAATACAGCTAACTTTTAATACCAGGCGAACGAATTACAGATATATACAAAAATACCAAATTCGAAAATAATTTCTTTTGAATTTTATGATCGGTAAACTTTACATTTTGACTTTGTAATCTATTAGACTTTATAATTATTGGTATTTGGATTTTCTACTTTATTAGAATTATAGTTGGATATAAAATATTTTTAAAGAAAATTCTTGTTTTATTTCAGCTGGTTCTTTTATTACTGCTTTTATTACAGTCTATTTCAAACAACGCGGCGTTACCCTTGCTGAATTGTCTACAACGTACATGATTAGTCCAGTTATACAAATTAGTGGAACATTGCTCTCAGGAATTATAGCAGATAAAATAGGACGCTCGAAGCCCGTGCTAGTAGCTAATTTATTACTCACAGGTTTGATGCTAGTTTGTATTCTTTTAGTGCCACGACCCGGCTATATTAATTGTAGCGAACAGACAATAAGCATCCAATGTGATTCTCCTTTATTAAATCCAAAAGTTTCAAGCAAAGAATGTGAAGAACCACCAATTGGAATTAATATATGTGATGAACAATGCATAAATAATTTTACTAGAACTTGTGGAGCAAAAAGAACTCTGGGAAAAAGTGCAAATTCATCTTCATTTTTAAAATATGAAAGAAATGAAATGACTGAAGTCCACAATCTTTGCACAGCAACGAATTTAACAAAATGTAAATGTAATTCATTAAATGGCACGCTTTGTGTTGTAGAATGCGTTACACAAACAAATAATTGTTATGATGAAGATCAAAGAAGTATGTTAAGCAAAGTTGCTATGGTGCTATATATTTTCTGGATGACAGCCTTTTCGAACACTTATCGTATTTGCGACGTAACGGCTATGTATTTAGTAAAAGAATATGATGCTGATTTCGGTAAACAACGTGTTTTTTCTATGACGGGGAGTGTGGTAATTTCGACGATAGCAGGATATTTGGTTAAAATCACCACTCCAGCTGGAGGTGAAAAGAACTATTTAATTGCCTTTTATTTTTTCATTTCATTAGTCACCTTCTGCATTCTTGTGGTTTATAAATTAGATGTCCGCGTCAGGCCACCTGGGCAGAAAATGGGAAAAAAGGCAACAACACTGTTAAAAAATCCAGATGTTTTAGCATTTGGTTTCGTAGTTCTCATTCTAGGCTCTTCTTTTAACTTTTCATCGAAATTTTTATTTTGGTACTTGGAAGAACTACAAGCACCTAGTATCCTCGTAGGATTAATACCCGCCATAGGAGCTTTATATGGTTTACCATTTTTGTTCACATCAGAATGGTGGATGAAAAAAATTGGAACGACAAAGTTCTTCATTATAGGTCTTCTGGGTTATGTAATGTATGGAATTGGATACTCACTTTTGAAAAATCCGTGGCTATCTCTTTTGCTAGAATCCCATAACATAGTAACTTATCATCTTTTGTGGGTTGCGGTGATCTTAAGAAGTCATGAGATAGCACCAGAAGGATTGACAGCAACTGTAATTTCTGCCGCTGGATCCATTCACTATCAAATAGGTAAGCTATCTGTTTCCCACATTTATGATAAATAGAATTCCTCACACGACGCTCGAAAAAAAAACCGTTATTTAAAAATGATTTAAAGTACCCTTAAGAATCAAAAAATCAACTTTTTACAAATAATAGTTTTATTTTTTCCCTTATTCGTTTTAAATTTTTCTAACTTATTTTTACTGGTACACTCAAAGGAAAACGGGTTGAACACCTACTAAAAGATTCTATGTTTTGTGGATTCTAGGGTATTGATGTTTTTTCATTAATTATTTATAAATAAAATGAAAAATATTTAAATTGCATAGAATGTACACATTATAATAAGCGATTATTCATGATGCCATTAAATAATATCAGCACATCATTTTTATTATAAATATTATGTAGGAAATAATTCTGATTTTAAAGTAGTTACAAGTTAGTGAACAAAACTAAAGTTATGCATATCGAAATTTTCGATGTGAACTTACAGGGTATTCCGTAATGACTAATAAATAGTTTTCCGTTCCCTAAATAAATAGTTTTAAAATCTTTGTGAAAAATATCTCCAATAAAAGTGTACACATAGAAAAGGGGTACGGGAGACACAACTTAATATTTAAGTAATAAATAAACATGATCCCCGGTGGCTGAGTGGTAGCGCTCCGTGCTACAGTTCCACAGGTCCTGGGCTCGATCGTCGGGCCGGGCAAGGTTGACTCAGACTTTCATCCCTTCAGTGGGTCGATAAATGAGTACCAAGCATGTTTGGGAACTAAACACTGGGGGTTCCGCGTTCGGCTGATCACCTAACCGGAACATCTGCTCCTGCACCCCATAGCCCAAGGTCAAGAAAACTGAGATGGGCACAGTAAGTAGACCTTGGCCCTCTATGGGTTGTCGCGACACTGAGTTTAGTTTAAATAAATAAACTTAGGCGATATCGAAATTTTTAAAAAAAATAATGCATCCAAGGTAGGACTAAATATATCAAAACCTGTTTGATTTCTGAAAGAAATAGACGTAAGGCAGCGAAACTAGTTTTAATGTTTTTCCTTTCATCTTCTTCACTGGGGATTTGAAAGATTTCAACTCGATAAATATAATTACTTGAAATTAAAGATAATAATATTTACTCGATAAATAACACCTTTGAAATAATCTAAATGCTACAAATTAAATGATATCTGTACACGCATTACAATATCTAATTACTATCTACAGAAAGCACACATATCTCTCTCCCATTTTGTTTCAATATTTTACCATTTGGTAACAGGATATTTATTACTCATACTTTTCAATCCTTACCACAAATTATTTCAGTAATTCTAACTGTTTGCTGTTTATATTTGGTATATGTTCATCTTTGATTAGCACAAGTGAACCAACTTTAACATTATTCTTTGTAAACATCGATTTAGAATGTTGCTGTAAATTATTTAAATAGTCCCTGTTCCATAGTTTCCGAATTCATTGACTATACTTTATATTTTTTTGCCATTTAGAAAGTCTGTTCTCTGGTAACTCAACGAGTTGAGATTCAACAGTTGAAGCCAAAGATCTCTCTTTTAAATAATGACTAGGTGACAAGGTTTCAAAGTTATCAAAATTAGCAGATAAAGGAGTAAGGAGTTGAGAATCAAAAACACTCTCAATTTATAGTATAGCGGTGAGAAATTCTTCTGAAGTCATATTAGCGTTACCGTTAATGAGATATTTAAAAGATTTTACTCCAGCCACTCAAAGACCCCCAAAATTTGGTGATATTAGGTGTATGAAATTCCATTCAAAATTCTCACTTGAAAGAAAATTAGCCAAACTTTTATCTACCTGTTTTTCAGTTCCGCGCATGCACCTATAAAGTTTTTATCATTGTCACTGTATAATTTTGAACATTTTTCCCGGCGACTAAAAAAATGTTTTAAATAAGCAATAAAGGCTATTGAGGTTAGTTCGGTCACGAAATCCAAATGAATTTCTTTGGGGCTTAAATATACAAATATACTTACAAATATTTCCTTTAGTATTCCTTTTCTCTGGTATTTAAGCTTAATGTAAGAGGTACCCCAAAAGTCTACTGCAACATTTTAAAAAGGAAAAGAAGGAGTGACTCTTTGACTCTCTTTGGGCAAACTCTTTGACTCTCTTTGACTTTGAGTGACTCTCTTAGGGCAAATCACCCATGATTTGACTTACTAACACAGGTTTCTTCTTGACGCATGTTATACATTAGAAAACAATCTTTCTATAAATCTTTCTACTATTTATGATCCAAAATTTACTTCTAAGGTGAAACAATAACAAATTAAATCCAATATGCAAATATTTCACGTAATAATATCTTACAATAATTTGTGTAAGGGATGTTTATCTGGCGGAACTATTGAACGCTTTTCATATATGTACTTAAATCAGAATTTTTTTAATCTACCTCCAACTCGCAAAACATTACAATCATCTAAAAAACAATTCAAAGATTTTACCTTGCTATTTGTGGTAACAGTACCACCTTTCATAAGATATTTTATTTCCTCTACAAACTCGCCTTGTTGAATTGATTGAATTAAATGCATCTCAGCTTTTCTTAACTTTTTAAAGGACCTGTATTATTTTCTTTACCTTGAGCATTATTAATAAACCTAAGTATGTAACACATAACATGAATAATAGTTAAATAATTATTACTTAATGTAAGTATATCATTAACTATAGAATTTTGATTAAAAGTACTAAAAGAAAATGGGCAGTCATTTGCTTTCCTTAATTCACCAGAAATTTCACGTAGGGAAATTAAAGTTTCATTATCTACATGTGGAATGTCAATAACCTTTTCTCACAAAAATGGTGGTTCAGAATTTTAACTTTTAATGTTTTCTCAAATGTATTAGCACCACTAAGTATTCCAGAACGCGCAATAAATAACTTTTTTGATTAGAGCTATAAGCTAACAAGCATCACTAGTATTGTCTTTAAAATATTTAAAAAAACTGAATCGTCTATGTTTTTTTTTAAACAATGGCTTCCGTTAAGCAAATGAGAAAATTCCATTTTTTAAATGCCTCCGAATTTAAAAATCTGATTAAGAATCGAAAATAGGGCTTCGTAAAAACTTTGCAATTGTACTCATTCATCTTCATATTGAATTTCGTATTCTTAGAGTTACCGTTTACGCGCAATCCGGTATACACGCAGACACACACATACTCTTTATTTTATTATATGTAAAGATAATTCGTATTTTTTCCTATAATTTAATTTCAATAATTTTTGTCACTCTTCATTTGTCACACATTTTGTCATGTGCTTTAAAAATATCTTAATTTGTTTTTATTTACAACGTAATTATTTTGCTTATAGTTATGCTTTTAAACTGTGAAACTAAATAATTCAAAATCTACATTAATTGAAATAAAAAGTTAGGTATTAAACTAGTATGAATTTGTAATGAAGAAGCATTATAGTTCGCTACACCCTTATTGATGCTAATGGTGTTTGATTAAATTTGCTATTATACTATAATTTAATAAAAAATATAGATGCGTTTTAGAAAGCAAAATTAATGGTGAAAAGTACTCATTCTTTTCAGTGAATTTTGAAAAATTGCTGATCTATGATTGACTCCAATGAGGCTTAATTAATTTTTGTAATGAATACAAATTGAAATAAAAAAGCTTTGCACTAAAAAGAAATATAAAATCGTGAAATGGTACTGATTAGCTTAATATAAACATGAAGAAATTAAACTATTATAGACGCTAAGCTAATTTAATTTTAGTAATAAATAATAATTGAAATGAAAAATAAATGTGCTGTGTACTATGAATCAAAATTAATAGAAAAATGGTACTAAACCATTTAGAAGAATCTAAGGTATCACCATATTGTTCTTCTTCACTTCTAAGTATCACCATATTGGTGATACTTAGAAGAATCTAAGGTATCACCAAAATTAATTACGCATCAATAACAATTGATGCCTAATTAATTTTGGAAATAATTACTGATTGAAATTCAAAATAAGCTATGTTAAAAGCAATATTAATGGATAAATGGTATTAAAACTGCATCAATACTGGGAAGCTTTAATATAAATGCTGTAAGAAGAGTACTTTTACAGTCCCTCTAAAAAGATAAGTACCAGAGAAAAATCACATGATTATAGTTAATTTTTACTATCATGAATGCCAAATGGTTCTAAATGCAGTTTTTTACTTTTATTTTTATTGGATGAACTTACTAAAAATGTGTTTTGCTTAATCTAACAACGTTACTGCCTTGCTAGAACACAAACAGCCGCTTTTAATTTACTTAAAAAGGAAAAAAGAAAAAAAGAAAAAAGCATCTATAAATAAGCAAATAGTGCAATTAATGTTAAAAAAATTACAAATTATTAGTTTTCATCAGCATATTTATTATAGCAGTATATATAGAACTAACTTAGTGACTGAAATCAGATTTAATTGGATACCTGTAAGCGACTTCACGCCTGTGTCGTATACCTGATTGGCTTCTGAATTGACAAATGCTACAATTTGTGAACGATGACGTCATTGACGAAAAGTTTAACTTTTCGAGAGGGGGTCATTACATACAATCATTATTTTTACTGTATTACAATTTTCTCAATCTTATTATGCTTTTTTTTTCTTCAATTCAGGGAAAACATCAGGTAGCTTAATAGCACGTGTAGTAATGAATCGCTACGGTGGACCAATTGCCTTCCAAGTTTTAGCTGCAATGTGTTTCATATCCGCTGTTTTATACTCTCTTTACCTCTACTTCAGACGAGGGTGCGTCAGCAATCAGCAACTTTCCAAACAAAGTAATAATATGAAAACATTCACATATTTTTTAAGTTACAAATTATAAATAATACTTTTTCAGAATTACTTAAACGCGTTACTTTACATTTAACACTTTTTAGAATTATTTTTACATGTTAAAGACAAAAAATTTTTTAATTAATTGTTCGTATTAAGCAAGCATGTATTTTATTATTATCTGTTTCACCTGAACGCTACTTAAAAATGAAACGAGTATAAAAGTATAAATAATTAAAGTTAAAGCCAAATTTTAACTACATAGATCAGTAACTTAGCTATTAATATCAAGTTCAGCAGTGTGAAAGCAAAAAAAATTATACTCGTGCATTAACACAGAAAAATTCTTAAAAAATATTTAAAATAAGAATCAGAATAATTTTCAGAACTGGATACTGAGATAAAAACGGCTCCTACGGTTCGCCAGCAGGCAAATGGATTCAAACCCATGATCCGTCAACCACCGGTAAATATTGCGTCAGCACTGGTGCAAACCAACCGGAAGCAGAGTTCAAATCGACTACTTATCCCTTGAGCCACTGCGGATCTGTGGATGGTGAGACAAAGAGTCAGTGATTAATATAGAGCTGTGGCAAAGGGTCGATTATGTCTAACGTCCAAAAAAAAATTAGCGAAGGCTGAATCAACTGGATGGAAAGGTTAATAACAAGGTTAAAACCAAGCAACTGCCTCTATGATGATGAACTGCCTCTATGACGCATGAAAAACCCAATTCATGCATTCTTATCTACTACATAATTTACTAACTTATTTTTTTTTTTTAGCTTTGCATTCGACTCAAAGATAAAATGCAACGTATAGCTAACTATAATGCCTTTTATCTGCAAAATAATTAAGAGTATAAGAGAACAAAATTATATAAATCATTGGAGTAGCAAAAATGTTTTCTTAATGCAAATTATTGTTTTTTTTATTTACTTTCTTTTTAAGATCGTACAGAAATGGATGAAAAACCCTGAAAGCGATGCTAGTAGCTGAAATTTATCTCTGTATGAACTACTGAAAGTTTTTCAACATACATCCGAATTCAACCCCAATTGTAAAGTAAGGATATAGTCAGTAACATATTCATCATCATCATCGTCATCCAAGACACAACAGCTCGGAATGGGGCCTGGGCTTCTCCAGAACATCTCTCCTTACAGCTCTCTTTATCACCAGATTTTGCCAGCTCAATACTCTAATGTTTTGAAAACTGTATTAATGGAGTCCTGCCATCAAAGTTTTGGACGTCCTCTAGCTCTATTACCATTGGTTTAAGTTTAAAAATTTTATGAGTTAGGGTAGTTGCATCTAAACGAAAAAGTATTTCCCGCAAATATTACTTTGCTTAGCTTTAAAATTTTTATTCTATCCATGTCCTTATTGTTGTAAAGTTCTATATTTGTTTTTCTTTTGTAGAAATTGATCTCGGTCCTCGATTATCAATCACAGTTGATTTAAATTGATGAAACTTTACCACTGAAAAGTTTTTACGAATAACTCAAGTTTCTAAAGTAAAACTTACATTTTAATTTATTGCCAATAAAAGATAATTTGAAAATGGAAATATTTATTACTAATTATTTGATCCATGGAATTGAACAAAAAAATAGATTAAAAATTATTTAATCCTTGTACCTCCAAGCTTTAGTAGTTTTTCGTAAAAGTTTTATATTGAAAAATTTATTTTTATAGAATAAAAGAATAGGATGTTTGATGTAGGACTTTTTTTCTATTACTTCAAATCTTAAGAGAATCATGAAAAAAACCATTATAACTGTAGCAAAAAAGTTTTTTAATGAGTGTATTTTGTACACACAACTGCCCTCTTGTAAGTTTACGTAATTAATTTGTGAGTTACTTCGGCCACTCACTAAATACCACTCACTAAAAAACATAAAGATACATAAATATGTAACAAATATAAATCATCATAATTTATCCGTATATCTACTGAACACATCCAAGGCTGAAACATATCTAACATACATAACAGTCTACGCATCAACTGAAATAACGCTTCTCACCTTAAGACTTTTAACAAATTTATGTACTCATTAAATATTACAGAAAAAATTTATTTGAATATTGTTTATCATTTCTAAGAAAACGAAAAATACATTATTAACTAAAAAGTTCTGAACTAAAAATGTTATTGAAATAATAAGTAACTTACTAAGATTGCAGAATCACAATGAATTTCAGCTATATCAGATTATACATTTTTAGATCCTGCGTTTCTCTCTGTAGAATAAAAAGTATGGCTATATTCCACAGTGCAAGCACAAAATATTAACTTCAGACACCACGGTGATTTCAACTTATTTTTTTAGAGTTCGAAACATCAGTTTTCTCGTTTAATATTTATTTCACAATTTTAATTTTCGAGAGTTTTTGGAGTCAATTTAATTAAGAAGAACATAAATATATTCCATTTCGAAGGAATTTATTCAAGACATATTACTTTTCATACCACTGTTATTTCTTTCCATCGCAAAATTATCTGATAGTGAAAATCGTTTGTTTTCGAAAACCGTCTGCTTTTGAATTTTTTCTTTCATAAGCAAATTCTAATTTAAGTGCAATTAAATACTTGTAAGTGACGTCAGCGTGTATATCGATGCTTTGCGCATGCTCACGGAGTGAAACGGAATTTTCAATTGATCATTTAGTGACATAAAATTCCCTATTTGAAATGTCTTATTATGTTTTGTTTTACTATTTGTAGATTTGGAAGTGGATATATGAAAATCAATTGTATTGAAAATTTATGCTGTGAAATCAATGCACAATTATTCAAAAAAGAAATATTATTTCTTCACGAAATGGAAATCAGTTGTATTAAATAAAAGTTCGCAAAAAAATTCTTTTTCAAAGCATTGTATTTTAAACCTTGCGTAATAAACATTGACCAACATTCCATAAAATAAAAGAACACTTTTAATTATTATTTGACTTATTTTGGAAAGAAAATTTCAAAAAATAGTGGGTTTCTAAATGTAGAATTATTTATCATAATAAATAAGAAATTTTAATAAAAAAGCATTTAGTAAATAAAATGAAACTTGTAATGAAATTTAAGGCTTGTTTTAATAATTTAATTTCTCCACCTATCTTGTTTTAACTTCTGAATCAAAAGTTTAAGGTAGAATGAATGTGTAATAAAATACATGTAATAAAATAATTTGATATTATTTAATTTTACTTAAGTAAAAGTGAGTGGAAAATGATTTTTCTATAATGCAGAATTTTTTTTTAGTTTTGATTGAAAAGCATAAGAAATAAGTAAGAAATGAATTTATATTAAAACTTTTTATAAATTCTTCCCTGTAAAAGAAAACAAAAGATGACCTTAATAAGTTACGGATATATTTTAAGTTGTTAAATCACTACACAATTACTAATTAAGTGAAGACAGTGATTCATAATTTATGTAAAAATAAGTCATACAAACATGATTAACATTGGTATTTCTTCACAAAAATACCTGCTTTAAAGGTGCTAAATCTTAAAAGTGCTAAAAACATTTTAAAATTGCTAAAAACAATTTATTTTCTTAATAAATAAAGTTAAAAAATTTTAAGCCTACTGTAACTATTTTTTAAGCTATACTTACTAAAAAAAACCCATCTTTTATCATCCTTTCATGCATGTTTCTTTTCACTATCAATAATGAGCAACATTAAGCGCACAATTTACATGTTTTTCCAGCATAACAAATCAGTTTGTAATGCAGAAAAAAAGATTTTTTAAAAAAAATTGCTCTTTCCTTCAGAAAATTTAGAATTACTCTGAAATAAAATCCAAAAATTTAAAACTTATACAAAAATTCAAAAATAAAAAAGGATAATTGGAAAACAAATCAAATGCATATTTTTTCTATGTAGATTGTATTAGTGATTAATATTTATTGAAAAATTTCCATTTATGTTACCACAACTGTAGCACTGAACTATGAGTCTAATATTAATTAAATAAATTATTTCACTATGACGATTTGTAATTCATTCACATTACAATTACTCTTTCATAAAGACTTGTTATTTCTTAATATTTAAAAAAGAATATGTTCGTTCGTTCACGGGGTAGATTTCCATTCTGGTACCTCCACCAAAATAGTCGTCAGATTTCGTTGACAACAGGACACTTTTGTCTGCTAGGAAGAAAAAAAGCATTTTCGAAGTATAATATCCTCACTCTTACTTCTCAAACAACAACATATTTTTTAAAAAAGTTTTGTTAATATAAATTCCGTACGACTAGTATAGCTGGAACAAATATGTGCCAATATGAAAATATTCCCGGTTTACAAATTTTAGCTCCTCATTGCAGATGAAGCAATATGAGGGATATTATGTGATAAATATTCTATAATTAACTCTTCAGAAATATTTTTTCATAATAAGCAAATTCTATTATCTGTTCAGTGAAAATTGATAGCGAGAGTAAACTTAAAAAATGGCTGTTTGTTGCTAGTATTGCCTATTTCTTGTCAACAATGTATGCATGTAAATCTTCTTATTTATCAAATTCCATACTATGTTCAAGGAAAACTGATAGCTGAAGTAAACATAAAGTTTTGCTGTTTTTTTTTTTTGCCCATACTTCTGCAAGTTAGTCTCCGAAACCGCGATTATTTTCGCTTTTACTTCTTAATTTGATTTAATAATTTCTTAAATTGTAATATGAAATAGAAATGTCTACTACTTTTTCACTGTCAAATACTATTCTATTTCTAAATTTCCCATCGATTTAACATGTGTACCTGGTTTTACCCTACTAGTTGTTTGAATTTTTCTAGAAAAAAAAACATTCATAAAAATAAAATAATACATCGTTGACTTATCAGGAATGATATATTGTGACATCTAAATGAATACCTTGATTAAATCTGACTGTTTCTAGGTCGAACAGTTTAGCTCCAACAGGCCTTCGAGTTTTAGCTACCCGATATTACCCCATCACTTTCTCCAATATATTTACAGTTCCTGGCCAAATTATTAGACACACTATAAGATTCTATATAAAATCTTAATTATCAGGTGATACTATGCAGCTTTATTGTTTTTACGCGACTTAAACCGGTTTGTACTTGTTTACGTTCGTGTATCAAGTGATTAAACTAGACGATCTATAATATAAATTCGACGATTGGATAAATTAGACGATATATTACATAAATATAGAATATTTATTATATCAAGTATTATATTAGTATATTATTATAATTACACCAAATTATCAGACGTACTGTAGTGTTTTAATAATTTCATGTTTTGCACGAATTTATATGCAATACTTTTATATTTAAAAATACATGTAAATTTCATTCAAGAGATTTTTTTATATACTTCCTATTTGTATTTATTTTTAACGTATTGCATTACAATGTTAACCAATTGATACACAAACATAAACAAGAGTAAACCGGTTTCAACCGAGTAAAAACAATAATGCTGTATAGTATCACCTGATAATCAAGATTTTACATAAAATCTTACAGTGCGTCTACTTATTTGGCCAGGGGCTATAGAGTAGGATTAATTTAATTTATATTTCTAGTGATTTCCATTAACAATTTCTCAATTGTGATAGTTAAGAATGCGGATATTTATTAGTTTTCATGTATAACTGCAGTATTGAAAGATCACAGCAGTATTGAAATTAACGTATTCACAAGAAATGTTATTTCAAGTGGTGACAAATTCTTTAAAAACAGCTTTATTTGAAATTATTGTCTGAATTAAGCTCTTGTGTCCTAAATTTTTCTCAGAATTTAACACTTTAAAGGAAATTTCTCCGCATTTGGGTAAAATTGTTATCATTCGGAATTTTAAAGCAAAATAGAATAGTGTGAACAAGAGTTTCCTTTAATATAAGCACTGTGATAAAAATGATTGCAAATCAAAAACTATTTTGTTCTTTGCTATTGAGGCTAAATAAAAAAATTATCTTTCTATTTCCCTTAGCACCTGCCTTGAATGTGTCTCAATACGATTAATCTTTTGCAGTGAAACTGTTATGTAAAGCTATAAAAAGACCAAACGATTATTTATGCAACGATTATATATGACTATACTATGAACTAAACTTTATGCAAACGATTATTTATGACGTCATTAGTTAAAAGTGTCATTAACGTAATATTATCCAGTGTTTATTAATAATTTTGAGTTGCAACGTAAAAAGATAGTTGTTCTTAAGCTTTATAATAAAATGGTTGTTTTGATAGAACGCAGTTATTTATTTAAGAATTTCAAGATATTTTTATAGCTTTGATAAATCGGGTAGATTTATTGGAAGCACGAATCAGAAACTTTTTCATTCGGCCTTTCTGTGATTGAGAAAAGGAAGATTCAAGAAGAAACTTGAATAATTTCCTTACTTGTGTTCCAGTTTTTCAATTAAATTGCTTCAAGAATACTTATTTTATAAGTTTATATTTTTAAGTAGTAATTTCTTATTTTATTCTATTTATTCAAACTATGAAGTTTTCCGATGTAACTGAAAACAGTATCAAGTGCATAACGTACAAACTAAAATATGAGTCAAAGTATGAGTCGATGAAAAAGAATGGAAGATCCTACGGAGAAAAAAAAGCAAAAACTTCAGAAACTGTTGAATGAAAATTTTTTAATTTCTTTTTATAATGTGTTTCTTTTTATTTAAGCCTAAATTATTATAATTTTGTTGAGGCTATTTTTATTCTCTAGACAA